TATATTATTATATTTATTACTATTGTTATCATTATATTTTCACCTATATTTTATTATTATTATATAGCAATTATAGAAAACATCTAAATTTGAAGGTCAATATCTCAAGAACTAATGCAGAAACCTATTATTGCATATTAGTTGACCCCTATTTTGGGTAGAAGAACATTTTTGTCTTAATAATCAAGATCAATTGTTATAGTGAAATTTTTAGTAATTTATATTTTTAATAAACATTCTAGAAATTACTAGTTAGTGTAACATAATTAGTAATTAATATGATAGATGATGTACCTGATGATCACATGTACATCACACGATAGTTAGACATTTAGTAATCTTCTACATAGTTTCAAAATATTCTATATAGTCTAAAAACATTATATAAGGCCTCACTTTGCCCCTTTCTTAAAAAACAACAATTGTAACTACAATAACTACAACTATAACTTGGATAATTTTGTAGTTCTCTCTTATAATTGTTTTATAATAAATAAACTTATTGTCTATTAAATTCTCTTTAGGAAAATTCTTTTATTTTGTTTTTAATTTGTTAGTTTTTGTTTCTTTTTGTTTCTTTTTGTTTTTTTTTGTTTGAATTTGTCTTCTTTTGACTCATTTCAGCACTCAAAAGTGCCCAGTACTTGAGTCTTGTTTCTTGTAATTGTTTTTTTATTTTCTCTTTAATTCTTCTATAACTCTAAACTATCCTTTTAAATATTGACTCTCTGCTATACTTTAAACTGTCAGTTATTACTTCCTTCTGCAAAACACTCACTAATGCTCTGAGTTAAAAGCAGTAATAACATTTGGTGCCTTCTGGCAGAAAACAATATTTAAAAGAGATATCTATTTGTTTACCAATATTATTTCTTGTAGTTTATTTTTTAAATTCTTTCTTCTTAGTTTCTATCTTTCTTATTTTCTTTTTATTATCTTATCTTTTACTATTAGCTCTTTATTTTATTTTATTTTTTATCATCCTTCTTATTTATTCTTATTAATATTCTTATCTATAAACATATCTTATTCTCTTCTTTAAACACCTTTAGTCTTCTTTATTTTATGTTTAACCAACAACATTTTAACTTTTCTTGTGAATATTTTGGATATATCCCAACTGACAAACAACATCAAACTTTAATTAATCAAATTAAACAAATTATTACTTTCTTCTAACAAGTTTTTCTTTAAGAACTTTATAAGTTTTATGATTAAACTTAAAAACTCATCTCTTTTATATTCTTGAAACCTCTAATTATTTTTATATATAGTTTACTTAGTACAAAAATTCTTCTTTATCTCTCTAAAAATTTTTAAAGTTTTAACTCTCTTTTCTGTACTATAAAAGTTTAATAAAAACTTCTTTACAAATACCATTACACAAATACTGACTCTTAATATTTCCTAATCTGCTTATTCATTTTGAGTAATCTTACCTTCTTTATATTCAAGAAAAACTGCATCTACAAATTCTTTCTAAGTAACAAAACTAATTTACTTAGTATAAATAACTCTAAATTTTAAATTTTCTAAAAAATTACAATTTTTTCCTAAAAATTTTAAATTTATTTTTATTACTTAATGCTTTACTTCTACCTTATCATATATTTATGAAAATTTTATATTATCTATTATTCATACAAACCACTTTTAATATTATTTTCTTTTTGATACTTTCAAAACCCTCTATAATAAAAGAAAGAAAAGATATACCAAAACCAATAATTAGTATTCAAGAAACTTTAAAAGAAAATAAAGAAGATATAACTAAAGAAGATAAAAATCCTTTTATTTTTCAAGAAGAATATAATAAACTGATTTTTAATCTATGGATAAATAATTATAAGAATAATACTTCTTCTCTAGATTGTTTTCTTAAGTCTTTTTCTTGTTTCTTACAACCTTTTTTAGAAAAACAAGAAGATAAACAACTACCTCCAATTATATATAATAGTTTTTCATGGAGATTAAATCTAAACAAGAAATTAAAAAGAAGAAAACAACGAAGAAGTGAAAACAGACTACTTCTACAACTATATCTGTTCAACAATTTTATTTTTATTTAGAAGAATCTAAAAGAATTTTTAAACCTTTTAAAAGAGAAATTAATTTATCTAGAGTAAAACAGATGATTAAATCTGTTGAACTTATTTTTTCTTTTGTTTTTACTATTTCAACTTGTTTACAAAAACTCTATTCTACCTTGATTCAAATATACAACTCTCTTCTTAATAGAAAATTATCTCAAAAATTAGAAAAGAAATTAGCTAAACACATAGAATCATGTAAACAATTACAACTTAGTGGAGCTATAATTATACAATAACTGTGAATACCTTTAAATTCTTCTAGCAATAATAGTTTTAGACAGTTCCTTTTGGATAATTGGTATTAGATTTAATAGACTTTTGATTATTTTCATCTTATAATTTGAATACAGCTATAAAATTACATTAATTTGTGTATTCTGTTAAAATCTTATCTTTAAACCAGTTATAAATCACATTAAGTTATGTATACTGTGAAAGTTTATTTTTAAACCAGCTATAATTTACATTAATTTGTGTTTGCTGTAGAAAAATTTTTTTAAAGTCTAGCTATAATTCATATTAATTAGTGTTTGCTAGTTTATTTATATTATTTTAATTTTATTTTGAGTTTTATTTTATTTTTGGTTTATTAATGAATTTAAAATTTTTTTTTAAAGTCATATAAAGAATTATCAAATTAGGAACCACAAATTTTATTATAAAAATTACAGAATTTTATCTAACATCCACATTTTTTTTATCTTTATCACAAATAATTAAAATGGTCTTACAACAACGATATCAAAGTTTACTTCTATATATCCACCAACTGCTTCAACACTTACATGCAGATGAAACTATAATTATATCTCAAAACTCAGTAGAAATTCGAAATACATCTGAAGCACAACAATTTACTATTGAAACAACACATACTAATACAGAAGCCCAACAAATTCATAATCTAATATATATATATTTATTAGACTTGGACAAAGAAGAACCTCAAAATATCAACATTAATTTTCAAATCTATAGTACAACCTTTAACAAAAACTCGCAAACATCTATAATTTTATTACACAGTTACAAAAACAAACCTCTTCTAATAATACAGCTCTGGAAACCTTTATCATCTTGGTCTTTTATTTGAAAACATGGATAGAAATCATCTCATTGACAAAAACTTTATAATACTTTGCTTCCCGTCGTACTTGTAATGTTTGGAAAATTGCTAACAGAGTATATCAACTTTTTAATACATGGGTTTATAATTTTCTATATGCTATTAAAGATATTACTCCACATATCTTTAAACGCATGTATCATTCAGACTTTTTTGATATTCTCTTACCAGAAGCAAAGTGTTTACAAAATCAATCTTGGCTAGATTTTGTAAATCTTGATGAATGTGAAGATTTTAACCAGAAGTTCAAAACTAAAGAAAGGAGTGATGTAACCCTACAAAATTTCATTAAATCTTAATATTTCTTTTATTCTTCTTATTTTCTTTTGTTTTATTATATTTTATTATATTATTATTATCATATTATTATATTATTATATTTATTACTATTGTTATTATTATATTTTTGCCTATATTTTATTATTATTATATAGTAATTATAGAGTAAGTATAAAAAACATCTAAATTACAGTCTCGGATATTACCAAATATAGAAATTAATTTACTATTAGTAAAAGACTATTCTAGAACTGATTTATATAGTATTTTTGTTTTTTTTAAAAAAAAATCATTTAATAATAAACCCTTGAATTAATTTTATTATAAATTGTCCTATGACTATATAATCTAAGAATCCGTCATGATCCCAACGGCTTTAAAAGGTAGTTGTTTATAAAATAAGAAAACAAATGGTGATTGGTGTAAATTTAGCCTCAAAGATTTTCATAGACTCATCATAGAATTAAATGGAAGTCTCGAGAATTTTCTAATCGTACAAAAAAGGGGTAATCTGCAACATCCAAATTTGGTAATATCTGAGACTGAATTAAGAGGTCAATATCTCAAGAACTAATGCAGAAACCTATTATTGCATATTAGTTAACCCCCTATTTTGGGTAGAAGAACATTTTTGTCTTAATAATCAAGATCAATTGTCATAGTGAAATTTTTAGTAATTTACATTTTTAACAAACATTCTAGAAATTATTAATTAGTGTAATATAATTAGTAATTAATATGATAGATGATGTACCTAATGATCATATATGCATCACACGATAGTTAGACATTTAGTAATCTTCTACATAGTTTCAAAATATTCTATATAGTCTAAAAACATTATATAAGGCCTCACTTTTCCCCTTTCTTAAAAAACAACAATTGTAACTACAATGATTACAACTATAACTTGGATAATTTTGTAGTTCTCTTTTATAATTGTTTTATAATAAATAAACTTATTGTCTATTAAATTCTCTTTAGAAAAATTCTTTTATTTTGTTTTTAATTTGTTAGTTTTTGTTTCTATTTATTTGAATTTGTCTTCTCTTGACTTATTTCAGCACTCAAAAGTGTCCAGTACTTGAGTCTTGTTTCTTGTAATTGTTTTTTTATTTTCTCTTCAATTCTTCTATAACTCTAAACTATCTTTTTAAATATTGACTCTCTGCTACACTCTGAACTGTCAGTTATTACTCCCTTCTGCAAAGCACCTACTAGTGCCCTGAGTTGAAAGCAGTAATAACAATATATGTAAACAAATAAGAAAACTAAGATCACTAATGTACAATAGTAAATATGGTGATACAGTCTAATTGATAGTATAGTCCAAGGGTGGTAATATATGACAGCATGTTTTTGGTAAAGTATAATAGTTAAAAGATGGATTAGAATTACTTTAGCTTTAAAAAAAACTTTACTTTTGTTATTAATAAATTTATTTTGCTTCATTTCGCATATTGAAAAAAAATTTAATTTGATTTGATTAATCAATAGTTATGCATGGATCTACATAAATTAGCCAATCACATAAATATAATAACCTGTAATTTTCTGTCAAAATACAAGTTTCCTATATCAGTCTGAGAATATACCAAATAAGAAAATCGCATTCTAGAATGATTTACAAATAAATTCTTAAATGTGATTAGCTCTCACATACTTTTTCTCCCATAAACATTTTATAATTTAAAAAAAAATTTTTTCACTAGTTAGTAAAATCAAAACAGCTTTGAATATATAGTTCAGGATGTCTAGTTTTAATCATCCCAAAAAAATCCTGTATCATAACCTTTCTTAACTAAAGTAAATAAGACATTAAAACTAGATATTTACTTCGTATAAGAAGTCAAAAATCCTTATTAGTTAACTTAAAATGATCTTGAAAGTTTGTTTTTGTATTTAAATGAAGATTTAAAAAGCTATTTATATTTAACATTCATAGTTTAATTTAATTATAACTTCATAGGTATTAATATAATTCATGAAAGTAACACTCAAGATATTCAAGAATGATTTTAATTACAAATCAATATATATATGGGTTGTTGTTTTAAATATGATTATACTGTATATATGGGTAGTATTGTTTAATAATATTAATCGAATATTGTAATATGTAATTAGCAAATTAAGTAGAATAAAATTGCTATTTAATATTTAATAGGAAGTAAACTTCATTAATAACTTCATTGATAGCTTTATTGATAATTATTGATAATAAGATGCTATACATTCGTATGAGTTTTCAATTTATTTGATTGGTTGGTGTCATGTGCCATCAAATCTAGAACCTTCTGATCGACATCCTTATACTAAAAAAGGGGAACCGTTAAAGCCAGGTGCTATCATGTGACCAGGCGATCAATCAGAACTACCCCAACAGCACCCACATGATTTCTGCTATCATGTAGATCTTGTGTAACATCAATATTGATGGAATGATAAGCAATAACGATAATATATTTTTTT